CGCCATAAGAGGTCTTTTAAAATGGAGTTTCCTGGATACCACAGCTAACCGACTGAACTAGCATTTCTGGGGTTGGGACCAGGAATTTCAATTTTATTGTGTCTCTGCTAGGTTTTGGTAGCAGGAGGATGCTGGTCTCATAAAATGAGTTAGGGGGAGTTTCCTCCTTTTTTATTGTCTGGAATAGTTCCAGAAGGAATGGTACCAGCTCTTCTTTGTACCTCTGGTAGAATTAGGCTGTGAATCTGTCTGGTCATGGGCTTTTTTTTTTTTTTTTTTTTAAATTCATGGGCTATTAATTGCTGCCTTGATTTCACAACTTGTTATTGGTCTATTCTGGGACTGGACTTCTTCCTTGGAATTTCAGTTTTAAATAGGCAACCAAATGATCTGTAGGCACCAGCCTAAGATTTTGTTTGGCAAGGCCTACATATGATTCTGATTTAAAGATTCACCAGCCTAATATATTAACAGCCATACCAACTCTACAGAGGACCTGATTCCCTGCATTCCAGATGCTATTCTCAAACTGACACTACTTAAATTCCAGTAGGACTTTTGAGTTTCATCTCAGAAAACAGACATCTAAAGTCTTTATCAAGACCTGCAGAGATGGGGTTACACTAATTTCTCAGGTCCATTCTTCTAGCTTTCATCGAATCCAATGTCGGAATTCAGCTGCCTTTATGGTACAGGAAGTGTCTCACAGGATCTAATAATACTGTGCTAAAATTTAACCTACTTCCTCCTATTCTGACCTCAGTTATCAGTGCAGACAGCTTTCATGCCTTTAACCCGGTTTGGCCTTAGAATCAGAGTAAAATTGGCTTCATGCATCTTGCAAGTTCTGAGTAAACATTAACGCCTAGTGATTATGCCAAAATAATTAGGTGTGTGAAAGCAACCTGAGTTTTCTTTCCTCCATTTCTTTTTTCTGAAAGCCAGTAACCAACTATTCAAATTTATGTAGAAGACAATAAACCATTTTTCCCCACAAAGTGTTGCTCTAAGCCTCAATTTTTATGTTGAGGTCTTAATCCTATTATCACAGTTGAATACAACACTTAAATATCTCCTTGATAGCTGTTAAGGCACAGTAGAGTCAATTCATGCCCAGCGAGCTTTAATCACAGGTCATCATCATGATCATCAGTGAAGTCTATGTGGGCTATGATGTCCACAGCTAAGCCTACTGGGAAAGCTGTGCATGGCAGCACTGCCAGCATGCAGTTAGTTCATAACTACTTTCAAGGGGCACTTCTGATCTAATGGCTAAATGAGGATCATCGAAGTATCTTTACATGTAGCATTTCTTGAAAATTCCATTTTTGCAGAGGCCAGTTATTGTATTCACTGGATGCAACTGAGATTGCTTGAGTGAGCTTTTATTGTTATGTGCTGTCTAATGACATTTCAGTCAACAGCAAGCCACAAATAAGACACTGATCTATAAAACTACAACAGATCTGAAAAAATTACCATCGCCTAGGGAGGCGGTAGCTGTCATAATGTCCCAGCACAGCGTATTACTCACGTGGTTGTAGAGATGTTTGTGTAAGTAACCTTATTCTGCTACCAGTCATATAAAAGTCTAGCACATAGAATTATGTATAATACATATTTAATACTGCTAAGAAGTGAATGTTCCTAGTTTATGGGTTTACTACAATATACATTTTATCGTTATTTTAAAGTGCTCTCCTTTTATTTATTTAAAAAAAGAACTTTAAACCAGCCTGAGTTATGTCCTTCAGGAGGTATGCAGAAGAAGGCATTGTCATCATGGGAGATGACAGCTCCTTGCTGTCACCCTGAAGACGTTCCAGTAGACAAAATGTGAAGGCAGAAGACAGTGATATTGATGATTATGACACTGTGTAGGCCTAGATGAATGCATGTCTTTGCATCTTAGCTATTAATCAAAAGTTCTAAAAAGTTAAAATAACGTAAATAAGAGAAAAGCTTATAAAATAAGGATGTAAAGAAAAAATGTTTTTGTATAGATGTATAATGTGTTTGTGTTTTAAGCTAAGTGCTATTAAGACAGTCGAAAAACTTAAAAATTGTATAAAGTCATTACAGTAAGCTAAGGTTAATCTTCTATTGAAATATGATTTTAAAATAAATTTGGTATCCCCTAAGTTTATAGTGTTTATAAAGTCTACAGTATTGTACAGTAATGTCCTAGGCCTCCACATTCACTCACTACTCTCACTGACACCCAAAGCAACTACGAGTCTCAAAAGCTCCATGTATGCTAAGGTTCCTACATAGGAGTACCATTTACAAATATTTTCATTTTTTTTTTTTTTCCTTTTGGAGACAGTTTTGCTCTTGTTGCCCAGGCTGGAATGCAATGGCGTTATCTCGGCTCACTGCGAACTCTGCCTCCTTGGTTCAAGGGATTCTTCTGCCTCAGACTCCCGAGTAGCTGGGATTACAGGCATGTGTCACCACGCCTAGCTAATTTTTGTATTATTAGTAGAGATGGGGTTTCACCATGTTGGTCAGGCTGGTCTCAAGCTCCTTACCTCAGGTAATCCACCTGCCTCAGCTTTCCAAAGTGTTGGGATTACAGGCATGAGCCATTGCATCCAGTCTAAAAATCTTTTTTACAGTATTTTTACCTTACCTTTTCTTTGTTTAAATACACAAACAGTCACCACTGGGTTATGTTGCCAGCAGCATTCAATATAGTAACTTATTGTACAGGATTGTAGCCTAGGAGCAATAGGCTGTATACCAGACTTAAGTGTATACCAGACTATACTATCTAGGTTTGCTATATTCCACGATGTTTGCACAATAACAAAATCACCTAAGAACGCATTTCTCCGTAAGTGTCACTGTCGGCAAGTGATGCATGACTGTATTATTGCCAACCGTTTAGGTTATATTGGTGGAGAGTGAATTAATGGCTTATTAACAGGTCGAGCTTATTTAACAGGTCCGGTTTAATTTGCTATAATAACAAATTGTGGATTATTTCCACAATTCGTGACCCATTACATAACTCATAATCAAAAACAAATAATTAAAGCAGGGCCATGCACAAATATCACATGGCAAAATAATCAGAATCATACAACAATAAAAAGTAGGCTGGAGTGATGAAAGATTTCTGATTCATAAAAACTGATATAACTGAGAATTTTTCACGTTGCCCCAGCTGCTAGTTCTCGTTTGCCTTGTTTTCTCTTCTAAAACTCACTCTGCAGCCTGAAGCCCTAACTTAGAAACTATAGAAAGTGTTTTAAAGGACACTGCATAATTTTAAAAGAGCTACCGCAATCAAGAGAAGAGCAGGAAAGAGGCTGCTGGCCATTTGAGAAAAGAAGGTAACCTCTGATCCAGTGCGAATTTTCCCAACATTGAAAATGTTCTGAATGCTTGGAGCACAAAAAAAAAGAAAATATAACCTAATCAAGAGGCAAGGAAACAAACCAAATCTTTCTGTCCTATCAAACACATGACCAAGATGCTGGAGCGTGCACATGGAATAAAAGGCCGTATGGCTCTTGAGGGTAGAGGAGGATGAGAGTACAGGGATGTTTTGCATTTCTGGCGCAATGACTTAAAAAAACGAATATTTGAATATCTGAAGATTTTAGGAAGGCCATGCAGATACTCAGACTGCCACAGGCCTCACTGCTCCACATTGTCTTATGTAAAGCTTCTTCTTATTTTTGTGATCCCTTTAGCCAATTGAGGTTGGGGGTCCTCTTACAGGTTACTATAGAATGTGACAGGGCAGAATGTTAGAGCTGGTAGGTCCAGTGCAATTGCCCCAATTAAGGCTTATACAACCAAAACCAAGAGAGGTAACAGGGCTGTGTTATCAGCTCCCATTAAGTAAATCAATAGAAACCCCTGATGGTGAAATTTGGGCTGCCTAGGTACCCAATAATCTTTTGTTATATGGTACAACTGCAAGATTTCAGTGGTACATTTTAATCTTATGCTAAGTTAAAACTGGCCTAGAAAAAATAATTATGGTCTGGTTATCAACAATTCATTAACTGGCTTGACTAAGAATCTTTGCTGCTGGAGAACACTAGAAATACCCAGTTCTATAAGTTTTTGCTTGATATATACCACAATATCCAAATACATGTGCATGCGCACATGCATGCACGCATACACACACACACCCACACACACTTTTCATTTACCTTCATCAAGAATTCACAAAGAATCTTTAAGAATTCTGGCATTTTACGATAGCATTCAGTGTACCATTCCTTCAAAAACAAGCAACTCTCTGAAAATACATTTCAATCTTCATATTAGCTCTAGTATTAATTTAGACTGAAGGATAAGATAATATATATATGTACACACAATTACAGAGTTTTCAGGCTTACAAAACCAAGAGTCTTGAGAAATGTACTTAATCTCCGTAATCTTGCTTTATAGATGAAGATTCTTATCACAAATCAGTGTGTTAGGACCTATTTGGTATGCTGGAAAGCTTATCAGTTTAGTATATTCTAGGAACTGAAAAACCAGAAAGACAAACACTGCATGATCTCACTTATGTGTGAAATCTAAAAAAGTCAAACTCAGTGGAGTAGAGAATAGAATGGTGATTACCAGTGGATGGCAATAGAAAGGGGAGATGTTGATCAGTTTTAGCTAGACAGAAGGAATAAGCGTCAGTGATCTGTTACACAGAATGGTGATTATAATTAATAATAATACATAATAAATTAATATATACAATTACTATCAATAAAAATAAAGTAAAAATTAAAAAAACAGAAATACATAATCTCAACAAGTAATATTAAATAAATGTAAAATCAACACTTTTTAAAAGTGTAATTACTATATTGCTTGTACAAACACTTTTACGTTGGTGGTTCATTATATATTTTTATATTATATTTGAGTCATATTTAAAGGGAAAAGCACTGATGAAGTTAACCTTCAAGAACATGGTCAAAAAAAGAGAAGAGCAGCTCTTGAAATTACTGTCAAGAATAAGCACAGTGAATTACCTCATATTCCTGGGAAAACTTCAAATTGTCATTTGCTTTCAATCTTTCAATGTGGTCTGCAAGTTCCAAGATAGGTATTGGAGGATGGCTAGCCATACCTATTAAAAAGGAAAGAAGAAATGCATTTGAAAACAAATGAAAATGATGCTAACTATCCGAAAATATAGAGAATACTATAGTTAGAAATGGCCTGAAAATATGTGAGTAGTAAAGATGTTTAGGTGAGGAAGCAGGCAAATAGTTTGGTTACTCAAAGCAGGACATGCTCTGGAAAGATGAATTTTGTAGCCAAATGAAAAGTCACCAAGCATAATCTCCAAACTAACACTCCTAGTGTAAAAGAAAGCGTTATTGTGCTAAGAATCAATGAGGTTAGCTTGCGGAGAAAACTGACAGGCTTGATGTCAACTTCTGCTTTGAGTAATGACTTTTATGCCATTTCAAACTCCTTCTCCTGCACTGTGTGAAATGGAAATTGTGTGGAATTAAATGGTGTCAAGTGAACTAAGAAAACAGACACTGAGAAAGGCCTAAAAGGGAAAGAGTAGTAGCTTGATAGTAAACATAAAATGACTTATGCATAATCAAGAAAAACTAACTTGAAGAATGAAGGTTACCAGGGTAACCGGAATCATCTGAACCTGCAAAGGAAATGATGGTGTAAATAAAATAAAATAGAACAAATTCTTTATGAAAAAAAATGAAATGGAAAGCCTGATACACTTTTTAAAAAGTCTAATCAAAATGCTGCAAGTTTGTTCAGGATTCACTATACATCGTGACTAGATTGAGATTGCTAATATTTCACACACCTATAGGTGACTGACATTCACATGCAAACACACAGAGAATGACATGCACCACAGCTCATTGACGAGAATCACTGACGGCACAATCAGACACCAAAGTGAGCCTCAAAAATGTTTCCACTAGTAGCAGATTGTAGAGGTTGGGGTTGCAGCCTTCTCCTGGACACTTACAAATGGCCACACTAACAGCTTCATGATATTTTGCCCCACGTCCCCATTATTCAACCCCCAGCAAACCTACAATCTACTTCAGGTGTAAACATCTTTGTCCATGGATGAGAAATGAATTCAGGGAAGTGAGCAAATGGTGAAAAGAAAGGAGGGAAAGTGGGTGAAGAAAGAAGGAAAGCAGAGACAGGGGCTGACACATTCTAGTTCATTCAGCCAGTGGAAGACATATTAATTTCATAGATTCCGTGAAAAATAATCCACTATTAATTCTGGCGAATCCTGTGTCTTTCTGATGTTTTCTCTGTTTTCATATGATTTGCCTTTTATTGCTTTCCTTTTAATTTTACAGAAGTAACATGAAAGCGCATGGCTGACTCTTATCTTACAGACACAAATTCCAGCTGGCTAGAAAAACCTGAACTAGCATGTCCCCAGGGAGGCCACTGAAGCAGAAAAAGAATGAGGGAGGAGCTCAAACTGGAAGCCATGTTGACATTCTGCTGTCACTGTAGATCTTTGGAGGGAGCCTGTAGAATGATGGCCGCTGAGTCAACGTGACATGTGACTACTTTAAGGGCATTTTAGGAATTATACCATTGTTAAAAGTCACCCAGTAAGTTCTTTTATCTCAAATGCCAAATTATCAATGGTTCTGGTAAGTTATGTAAAAAACTACCCTGCTTTTTGAAGACTATCACTTTAGCAACTGTTGTGAATTGCAGTGGTTTAGTTTTTACAGCTATGAAGGTCTGCTTCCAGTCAGCTAAAATTTTAGTGGCGATCCAATAAAACTGAATTGCTTGGAAGGAGAAATTCTTTGTTGGTGATATAATAATGCCTTTGGAACAAAATTTTGGAACCCTTTCTGAAACTTTTCTGTATTAATGGTAGAATTGAAATAATTTACATTTTGTGGAGGGACTGAGTGGGTGACAGTGATCTGTTATTATATGATCTTATCCAGATGAGGCACCCCCAATGAAAATAATGGAACTGCAAAGGGATAGGTGACTTTAAGCTGATCTGGAAATGGAAATGGACTGATATGGACATCGTTACAGTGCTTTAACAGAGAAAATAATAGAGACAAAGATGTTTAGACCTTTTCGAGCGAATCGTGGGAGAGAGTTATTATCATATATGGACTGAGTGGTGGTTTGGCTAGAGAGGGAGGACACAGAGCCAATCAGGGAGGCGTAGGGGACTGAATTACTGCTCAAAGCTGCAAAAAGTAAAGCCAGTTGGAGATGGGAACAGTATTAGTATAACAGCAGTAGAAGACCGTAATAATAACCAAAGATGCAATCAACATATTTACTTGTGGCATGCACTGGCATATGGTCTGGAAGTATTACACTGGAAGCTTATTAAAGAAAAATTCAAGCAGACCTACACTTACTCATTATATTCCACATCAGAATACATATACATATATCTTGCACATGCAAGATACCATAACATTAAAGAATCGCTACATAAAACTTATTGTTGCATACCACATTACACTCAATTTCTAGGACAAGTAAAAATGGCAGATGGATGTTTCACAGAAAAGGGAGGAGAATTTGTGTGAATCCAATGATACAGGAGAAGGAATCCTGGCCTGGAATACTGGACATGGTTTCTATTTCTGGTTTTGACATCTACTGATAGGAACAAATCACCATTTGTCAAGCACCTTGATTTCTTTAACTCTTAAAATAAGTGTATAGAACTAGATAAATTCAAGAGCCATTCTCTTCTTTTTACCTTTCATCCTCCCCACATATAGACAGAACTTCTGAACGGAGAGGGTCAATTGAACATGGTTCATATGCAAGGCTTCTGAAAGTTACTGTACCTTTTCTTTGAGGGAGGGGAGAGTACTTACGTTTTACAAATGGAAAACTAGTACACAGTTGAATTGTCTACTTTTTGAACTATTTAAGTTTGTTGCTATTTTCTTTCATTAGCCAAAATGTATACACAGTCTATTATGATGTTACGTCATATATCGGAAAAGACTGAATGGCAGCATAAAAATAATCCTCAACAAGAAAAATCTTCTAAGTTGAAACTGTTTAGCTCCTATCAGAAAACAATTACCAAGGATCTACTTCAAAATATTGTTACACAATTCTGCGGAAACATCTCCACTGCCCAATAGTGAAAAAAAAATGTTATATGACATAAACAAGTATGTTGTATTTTGAATGAAAACGCAGACACTAAGAAAACTTGAAGTTGACCTCACTGTGGTATCTTTTCAATGTTTTGTCTGGCAACCTGACCATTGCTCACAGTCTATAAACCAAAGTCTTTACAACACCAGAGTTTTCACGTTTGAATTATTTGATAAGCTTTAAAGTTCTTTTTGTCTTTTTTTTTTTTTTTTTTTTTTGCAGGCTGTACACCAGACCAATTAATTCAGATCTCTGAATGTCGGAGCTATATACTGATATTTTTAAAGTTCCCCAGCACTGGCTGTTAGTCCTATGGGACTTCATGATGGTGGGGGGGGCGGTCTGTAACTCCATTTATGACTTTTTTTTTCTATTTAGAAATCGTATCAGGATGTATGAGAATGAGATGAGCTTATCTCTTGGTGATATTCTTGAATCCCTCTAACGCCCTGTTAGCAAGCTTTAGTACTTTAACTATTATTAGCAGCAAAGAACTTGAAGCACAGCTAACAGTGAGGACTTGCCAGTGTCATGACCTCATCAGTTCAAAGCTACAAATGTACAACACAAATGCATTTTAAAGGCACACCTCAAATCTGAGCAGAGTTTTCATTTTGAAGCTATGATCTCCACAATATAGAGTCAACATGAAAAGTGACAGAGGCAGTCACTGAAATCTGCCTTAGGTTGGAGGAAAAAACAGGATGGCTCCCTTGAATAGGGTATATATTTGTGACATAATGTCATGGTAACTTCCTTATAAGAAGTAAACTTTAAAATCCTGGCATTGTAACCTAAAAGGCACCTTAGAGATGACTTAGTCTAGCACTTTCATTTTATACAAGAGGATTCAAATCCAGAAAAGTTAGATGACTTGTAAACATAAGCCCAGACAGTAAATAACATCTGAACATGCAGCTTAGGCATCTTTCTACTGTACTATTTCTAGAATACCGTTTGTGACCTTCTAAATAAAGCAGGGGCAAAGTCTCCACGGATGGTAGGGGCCAGGTTGTTAAGATAAATGACTGAAGATGGCTAAGTATTATACAGTCAACATTTTCACACACACACAAAATACGCTCATTCCCATTTCCTCATGATGAGCAGGTTTCCAGCGCTGGCTTTTTTTCCTCTACTTTGAACAGAGACTCCAGAAAGAACAGTAATTCTTTACTATGTGAAAAACAGCTATAAGCATGACATAAATGGCAACTAACGCTCAGTCTCAATGTCAGTCATCTTTAGGGCTGGTGTGCATGTGGGGGACTTCTGAAAAGGGTAAAACTATTGAGCTCCAGGACTTGCTATGACAATTGGGAATGCAGGGCCAATCAGATCAGACTTTTTAGGTTTTCAATAGCAATTAAATCCAGATTATCATGGGATATTTCCTCAGTTTCAATGTTGACTCAAAATTTTGTTAAAATTTAGTCAGTGTCAAAAGATAAGCACTTTTGCAAACTACATTTGATTAAATAAATTATGGCCTCTGTTTTAAAAGACCAAAACCCTCTTTCGTCCATTTGTGTGTGTGTGTGTGTGTGTGTGTGTGTGTGCACGCGCGTGTGCACATGAATTAGAATCAAGGACTGTTGTGAATGACAGATTGCATGCTTGTATCCACAAGGCAATGGACTAGATACTGAGCTTTGTGCTGAGGATGTAAAAGTGTGCTTCTCATACAGTTCAACCTATGGGTTCGTCTACCTCCCCGTCTACCTAATCTGATTTTCCAATAATTCTACCAATCAGAAAAATGAAGCCCAGAGGAGTTAAAGAATTCGATCAAGGTCATCATTATCAGCAAAACTGTAGCTACATGAGGAATTTGATCCCATACCTTGCCCACTCTCAATTTAGCACATTTCTCATTATGCCATGCTGTCTCTCAAATCATTTAACACCCCTGGATAAGTGGTGACATGTACATAAAGCTGCACCTTTAAGACTGTTTAGGCTCTGTATGCAGCAAGACAGAGATCATAAACCATCCTTGGTTTGAGAAAAAGTGTCAATATAGTGACTACACCTAGGATATCTGTTTCAATGGTGGAGAACAGGAAAAGGTGATGCCAAAATGTATCTGTATTTTCTAGTTACTTCTTGCCAAAATATCTTTCCATGAAAACACAAACTAAAGGTATTAATTTAAAATGTTAAAAACTGAAATACTATTTGGTAGAATGTTTTTTTAGAAACTAATTTATGGTATTTTTGCTTTTCAAATGTCCTGCTCTGTTTTATTAAGTCAGTAAGGCTACTGAATGCTTCGAATGACTTTATTATCCATAGAAAAATATTTATCAAACATTTGCTCTGTTTTCATATTTTAAGCCTTGCACTGAATGCAGTAGGCACTATAGAACTATTCTACTAAGTAGAATTTTTTAAGTCATTAATAATGGTGGTACATCTTTTAGACAATTTTTTTCTGTCACTGTATACGTGTGTCTGTAATGACCCAGTAACAGTCTCTTCATGATTTTCCTTACTGAC